CCCCCAAAACCCCAAAACCCCAAAACCCCTTTTATAAACAGAAATGTTGAGTTATAATATTCATTCTTATTCATTAAAATAAAACTTTTCTTGAATATTCTTAATTTTATAAGCAAGATATATTAAGATAAATTGCTCATGTATTCCTAAATCATCAGAGTAATATCACAAGGCTTGATTCTTATTAAGATATCGCTTTTATACTCCTGGCCTGCTTAATACCTCAGATTATGAAAGACAAATCCAGATATATTATTTTCGAAGATCAACGGATGTAAATCTCGTAGTGGCATCAATATAATTACACAAGTTTAGCAAGAAAATAAAACAATTTCAACTATTGAGAACTCGATGGCTTCCATTTAAATTCATTCGTATACGAAATCGAGCAAGATCCCAACTCAAGTAGCCTCTATATCATGGAAGTTTTTAACAAGAAGAAAGTCAAGAAAATAATAATTTTTAGATAAGAAGACTAAATATCTCCGCTTTTAATCTTGATAATCTGCAATAAGCATAGGATAAGAGAAATCCAGCTGAAAGTGTTCAAGTTCGCATAGTCTCTGCTTCGCCTTCCAAACAAGTTCTCTTCTGATGGAGAAAAACTCCCTGAAGAAGTATACAATGAGCTGCTGTACATACCTCTGTTTGAAGAGTCTGAATATGATTCAAAAGAATTCTACAAACTCAACCTTATTAACCCCATAGACTTCTGAGAAATTGTCAGACATGCAGCAAAGCCTGCAAAGAAAGCTGCAAGTTCGAGTTGAGACAGAAGCATTATTGAGTCTTAGTGAGCCATAATACTTTGAACTCCGAAATGTACATCCTCTCGAAATAGAACATCCAAGCCAACCTCAGTGGGTTCGAAAGCAGAAAACTGTCATCGGAGAATCAGAAAACAAAAATTAATCCTGGGCATGCACCTATCGACTTCAATAAATATGAGATAATTGATGAAGACGACAAATGGTACGGATCAAAGTGACAAGAACATGTCAAGGCAAAAATAAATAGGCTTGGGAAAACTAACTCCAGTGTTGATTGTCAACCTAGAGAGGTTAATAACTGACAATCAAGAGTTATTGTTCTTTAGAAACTCGTCTCACAAAATCATTGAGTTGGTGGGGTTCCTGCTCAAGTCTCTAGACTTGTTAGAGCACTTGATCAAAAAAGAAGAGCAGAAGCAAGATTGGACCTACGACTTGTACGGAGTCAGTAACCACATGTTCAAACTGCACAGAGGCCACTACACAACCAGCTTATTCAACTTTCTGCACAACAAGTGACTGTACTTCTACAAAGAGTCTGTGTCTAAAATACCTGAGAAGGAAATCATGGATCTGCCTGAATATGTGTTGTTCTACAGAAGAAGAGGAGCATTACCAGAATATATTAACATGCTATCACAAGTTCTTGAAATTTTAATAGGAATATTGGAATTCTTACTTTGAATAAGTTTCCATGAATTATTTAACTTCAATATTATGCTCTTTTAAAGGGGTTTTGGGGTTTTGGGGTTTTGGGGTTTTGGGG